AAGTCGGATGCTTAACCGACTGAGCCACCCAGGCGCCCCTATACCATACAGTAACATAAATAATTTAAGGCCAGTTTAGAATGAACATAACGCTATTTCAGAGTGATAAAAGTAGTTGTTTCAAGAAAGCTAATGAAATTATAAATTGAGAATTTGTGATTATTACAATCTCTTTCATGGCACTGCCAGAGGGCACTAGAGAAGCAGATGTTAGATGGGCCAGGACTGGCTATTTCTGCATTGAAACCCAATAATGTTAAAGGGGGGTTAACTATTACAAACCTGTACCTGTTGAGATGAGGACAAATTTTTTGAAACAGTGTGCAATCACTAATATATCCCTCTTATTAAATACAACAAAGATTTAGTTAGTTGTAAGTCTCTCCTGTTTGCTGTTTGTGGAATACAAGTTGGAGAAAATCAAAAGGAAAACCCTAACCTTGAAGACCTGAGATTCTCTTAAGAGTATCTTTCACAGAACAGAATTTTTTTTTTATTTTAATAAAATCAAGCTTGTCTTTTGTTTTCTTTAATGAACCATGCTTTTGTGTTCTGTCTAAAAATCCATCGCCATACCCAAGATCATATTCAAGTCATTGACTGAACTGGGAACAACTAATACCTATAGTCCTATAGTTCATCAATGGTCTCCCAAGTGACTTTCTGAAATTCTTACGCTACCACTAATGTAGCAAATGGAAACTCAAGATACAATCCAGTGCAGATCAATGATATTCTATTTAAATTATATGCATAAGTGCATCAAACATCCATTTCCCCTTAAATTTAATGATCTTATGCATTGGTAGTAACAGTAATGACATAAACATCAGGATCATTATATAAATACAATGTACTTAGAAGATATTTATGAGCTTTAACCTTCTATAAATAATATTTACTTTTACTCTCTACATATCTAGTCTACTCAAATTTTTAAAAATTTTTTGAAAAATTCACACTAAAATTGTCATTGATTGAGGATAGAGTTAAAATAGTAGTCATCTTGTCTTCAAGAAGAGAATCTAAAAATACTGATAAAACTGCACTTCTCTGCTTTTCGTTTTAAGCATTTTCATGTGAATTGGGAAGAAACAAAGCATCTCCAGATCAGCAGGTGTTACTAAATTGTTCCAATCAGAAAAGCTGTGCAATTGGGAGAGACTCAAGGAAGAGCTTATAAAATTGTCCAAGTGGGAAGAAAAATGGCATATGATTTTTATCATGGATACGCACAAGGTCATTTCTTTCAGAAATTGAAAAATCTAGAGCCTACATCCAAATGAAAGTCTCCAGTTATCACAGATTTGGAATTTACTCCTCATTTCCTCTGGTGTGTGGTTATATCCCAAAAGGCCAGGAAATACTGGGCATCATCAGGAAAATTATTAGAAGTGAAGCAGAAAACGTTGTATGCATTTCTGGCTTTTTACAGCCTCGGGAAGAATATGGAACTAGACACTGCTCACAGCAGGACTTTCACAGTCATTAGCAGAGGGCTTCTGTGAATACCTTGCATTTGTGATCTTATTTATGGTTGTATTGGGCCTGAGGGCCTTTAGAACATATGGCCCTACTCTTTCCTTTCTTGTTTAAACGTTGACCATGTAAACCAAAACATTTTTAAATGTTGATCATGTAAACCAAATAGCTTGCACAAAACAACAGTTTGGAGAAGTACATTGTTGGAACTAAATCTTAGTTTCTATCATTCCTCTGATTCTGATCCAGCAATTTGCTATCTGAAATAGAATGGTGATATGGAATGTAACTGAGGTCTATAAATTCTTGAATAGCAATTTCAGTGATTCCAACTAAAAATGAGTCATCTCCTTTTTAAAATATTTCAGGCAAGTTTAGAAAAATTGTTGCTTCATACTTAGAGAAACTAACTTGAGGATTTTATTAATCAGCTACATGTACCAAATACGTGTTGATACAACGCTAATAACACTAGAACAGGAAGAGTGAATAAAGTGTGGTTTCTTGCTTTTAGAAATTTCATGAGTTGATATACAAATATATACATATACATATAATGATATATGCATAAGATGTACATAAGATGTATAAATTAAATTTTGAAAGGATTGGCAAATGTATGAGAAAGTTGGCAAAATCATTTATTGAATACTGACTGTGAGCCAGGTACACTGCTGTCTTATGTGCATTGTCTCAAAATAATTCTTGCAGTGTCTTAATGGGATAGATTTTATTATCCTCATTTTATGAAGGGTGATATTGAGGCTTGGAGAGTTTAAATAATTTTTCCAAAGACACTGTAAACACTACTGAGGCAAGATTTAAATAATATAATCAAACTACTCATTCAGGGAAGCTGGAACAAAGCTCTCATCTTCAAGGTTGTTTTTAGAGAAGACAAAAATGTCTCTGTGGCGTTCACCTTAAACTCTCTTAAAAAATAAGTTGGAGGAGTGAACCATAGCTTTGCTCTAGCAGAGACATTTTAATGATCTTATGTAAGAATATCCTCCTTCCTAGCCACACATGCTAGTGTTAATTCATATGGGGCATATGGCTCTTAGCTCTTCTCTGTAAGTGCTGCCATATTGATGTCATATGAGTAATTCTCTTCTCGTCTTCCTGCTGTGAAGCATCACTCTCCCCTTCCAGAGAAACAGCTGCTTCCCAACATGGGTATGCTTGTGATCAATTCTAAACCAGTTGGTCAGATCCCATATCCATGTAATATGTTTATTGACTGTTCTAGATGTTCCTGAGTACAGGCATTGGTCACATGTGTAAAAAAAAATAAAACAAAAAAGAAAAATTGACTCAGGGAAGAGCCTAATTTCCCCAGAGCATCTACGAATTCATTCATTCTCTTATTAAAAACTCATTCAGCACCTATTGTGCTCCAGACTGCTTGACCGCTAGCTGAGAGATTATCGACACAGCCACCTGTTCCAAGCATTTGCAGTCTCGTGGAACAGACAATTGTATCAAGAATCACAGAAGGTGTGTTAAGTACCATAAGCTATGTGAGGAGTTCTGAGAGCACAAATGAGGACCAACTGAGGCTAGGGGGGTTGAGGGGTGGCTTCCTGGAGGAACTAACTACTGTTGTATCATAAAGGACATTTTGAGTATTGATAGGAGGACAAAAATGAGATGATTAGTCTAGAAAGGGGAAAAAACATGTTGCAAAAGCTCAGAGGCATGAAAGCATGACTCATTTGAGGGACTATAAGTAGTTAAGCGTGACAACACTGGGTGCTTTGGGAAATGCAATGAGAGATGGGCAGAAAAGAATTTTGAATAAAGCACCTAAATGTTTTCCTCAGGATTATGAAGGCAAATATCTTTGTTCAAATGGGAATGGAGATTCTGTGTTTCTGGCATTTTTTTCCAAAATCTTTTTAAACATGTCCAAATTTTCTTTCACTTATAGTAACACAATGTAAAATAATTTTATTTTTCTTGTAGTTTCTGAGGAAGACAAAGGATTTGGACCAATTTTCGAAGAGCAGCCAATCAATACCATTTATCCAGAGGAATCACCAGAAGGAAAAGTTTCACTAAACTGTAGGGCACGAGCCAGCCCTTTCCCAGTTTACAAGTAATGTACCTCACTGCTCTTTTCAGAGTGGCATGTCAGACCAGATTATAGATCAACATCTGTGACCCTGTAATGATAGAAAAAAGTTATAATATAAGGCTGTTAACAAAATACAGGGATATTAACAAAAATATTGGCATACAAGTTATCAAAATAGAGTAGTTTAATGCCCAGATAATAAGTTTCCTTAAATATATGCAAATAATCCACTTACTATTTTCTGCACAGATAATGCCAATGCTTTTTGATATTATCCATTTAAAAATTTTCTAATGGTGATCATGGATTTAAGCACATAAAAGGCTATGTGAAAATCATGCACAATTTAAATATACTCATTTGAGAATAAAATGTTCTTATATGCATTGACCTGGGTAATGCATACTTACATATTATAGATGATATTCCTGTATCAACTACGTTTAGAGAGCTTGCATTTATAATCCTGAAAGCACCACTTTTTTCAGTAGTATCAAATCTATATTCCAGATAATACAGCAAATTTCTTAAATATCCCCGCCTATTAGACAATTCATATAAATATATCTCCCTCTGTTTTTCTGAGGTACGTATTTATATTATAAAAAAAGAACAATGGGTTTTTCTGCTTCAGATGGTTCAGAAAAGTATACTAACAATTCCTAGCCTGATACAATGAATTAGATTAAAAAATCAACCTGACACCAATGGATTTGAATTTCACCTGTGAAATGGTTCCATGAAGACAAAGCAAGTGATTGATGGGGAAATTGGGACTTTAGTGCATTAATGTCAGTTAATTGAAGGTTGTCACTCAACAAGATTGATTTTCATAGTATTTTTTTCTCAGTAGAAAAACAACTGTCTATTGTTAGAAAAAGTCGTTATCAAATTTCATTCTAATTGAATTTATTTTCTCTTGAGTTCAAGAGACTCTCTTAAGTCTCTGGGTTAAATTACAAAATTATTCTTAAAATAAAATATGAATTTATATACAAAATCACCATCCCTTTGAAATTATTTTTATTGTTCCAATTTCATGCATGGGAGTACAAAATAAATAGACATTTTATAAATTATAAGTAATATGTTTGTTCTGAAAATATTTGATGAGCTAGACTTGTTTCTACCCTTAAGCCATACATAATAGGTGTTTATATACATAGTTATGGGCATGGAATAGTATAACTAATAGGGACTGTAGAGGAGATCTAACCCAAGAACATAGTTTTATAGGAAAGGAAGTTGAATCTTGAATATATAAACTGACTTGCTTCAGAGTTAGTAATCACAGATCCAGGACTGAAACCCAGGTTTTATGGCTTTCAAAGAAACATATAATTTTTTCAGTATGTGTCTATATAGAGAGGTTGATAACATCTCAAATGCTATTTCAGTGATCTCAAAAGCTCTTTCGGTGATGCTTATTTTGTGACACTTTGTCCTTGACACTCATACATGGAAACTTAGCAGATCAGTCTATAGGCTGAAATGGAGGCACCATAACAGAAGAGATTGTTCTCAGATAGTGTTCTAGAAATGGGAGTTTCTCACTGTGCTCAACCCCTTCCCAACCCCACAGACACAGTAAGAAGCAAAACTTTGCATAACTGCAACTTAATACACATTGATTAACGACTCCCTTTTTTCTCTTCTCTCCAGTCTCTGGCATCCACCATTCTATACTTTGCTTCGCTAGTTTCACTATTATAGATACCTTATATAAGTAGATCTCATATTAAGCGTTCTTATCAAAATTTAAAATGTAAAAATAAGAGAGAAAGCTTTGCTTGACAAATATATCACCAACTCCCTTCCGTAGGTTGTACCAGCACTGAATGCCTAGGATGAGTGTGACCTCCTGACCTTGCACCTTAATATAGAGAGCTGGAAGGAGAAGTAGATGTTTAATTCTGTTATGAAGGCAGTCTGCATTTGACAACAAGAAAGAAAGAAAGAAAGAGAGGAAGGGGGGAAGGGAGGAAGAGAGGAGGGAAGGGAGGGAGGAAAGAAGGAAGGCAGAAAGAGAGGAAGGGAGGGAGGAAGAAAGGGCAGGAAAGAAAGAATTCAGCTCATGATGCAGCGTGTCTGATTGAAAAGAACATTTGAAGTTTTTAAAATTTACTTAATATTCAGAGTGAGCCATACTAACCTTGGTCATCATGCAATGTGTCATTCACACAGTAGTTTTATATTTATGGCATACTCCATGGTAATGTCTTATTCATGGCAACACCCTGAAAGGCACAGAAGGGAACCTTACCTTTTACTTACCAGCCTTGAAGCTTTCATCATCTTGCTTTGACCCCCAAAATAATAAGAATGCTAATTAAATTGCATTTAAAACTGTTTGAAAGGAGTTACAAGAATGGTGTGTATTCCTGAAAGTAAAGTAAACCAGTGAACCTACCCAAACATAGCAAAACTTAATCATTATATAACCTAAAAGGCAGAATCAAATGTACTGGAGAAGAATTAATGCAATAAGCAAAAATTTGGAGTCATCATAGTGGAAAAACAAAATAAAATTGGAATTGCTCAACAAGGAAACCCATTGCCTTGGCAAGTGCTAAACAACTTGACAATGGATTGTTCAAGTAGGGCCAACATTGCCATCAAACTGGGGGGAAGGAAGATTTATTCATTGGGTTGGTATTTGGGAGGCTTTCAAAATGCAAAAGCCCAGTTTTCTGGGTTTGCTTTTAAATGACGTCCTATATTATAAAAGTTAAAACTAAAAATGTTCCAGTAATTTGATTTAATAAAAAGTATTCTAAAATGTTTAGGCTTTTTTTGGTAAGATTCTAACCCTAATTAGAAGTGTGCAAGGCAATGAGCCATGAGGCCCCAGCCCACTAATTGACCATGGCTCTTGCCTGTGACATTGCTGAAGACATGAACCCTGATACAGAATGAGTATGTATATTACACAGATGGTCAGCTTAATTGAAAACTATTTTCTACATTTATTCTTCTCATAATCTCACCAAGGAAGTTAGATTCCTGTTTTTAGTCAATTTATTTATAACACAATCCCCTAAATATACCTGCAATTGTATATTGGCTTGGAAACAAAAGATCCAATTGATTTTTGCAATTTTCAAATTGTGTGATCGACCTCTAGTGGTCAGAATGTGACATTTACTCAGTAGAACCTTGACTTCAATTAGTTTTATTGAAAAACTATTTTGATATATAGAATCAGAAATTTATATTTTATTTTTTATTTTTTACTAGAGTAATGCATTAATATTTTATGCAACACATCTGGATATGCATGAATCTTACTAGTACATAGATGATTATCATTTATAATCTATGTATATCTGCTAAGAAACCAATTAATGTAGCAAAATTCAGTGAAATATATGTCTCTGCAGATGTCTTATTAATAAAGAGAAAATGTTTCATGCACTTTAACATTTACCTTTATGTGCCTGACCTAAATCATAAATTATGAGCCCAGCAACCCAGAATTATAGGGTGTGAAGAAATACCATACCAAGTCATCTACTTAATCATCTGATTTCACATGAAGCCATACCCATATTATTTTAGAATGACATTAGCCCAGTATGCTATTTGCAGGCCTCATGACCTTTGACATGACATTTGTTTTTCTTTCTCATAGATGGAGAATGAATAATGGGGATATTGACCTGACAAGTGATCGGTACAGTATGGTAGGAGGAAACCTGGTTATCAACAACCCTGACAAACAGAAAGATGCTGGAATATATTACTGTTTGGCATCAAATAACTATGGGATGGTCAGAAGCACTGAAGCAACCCTGAGCTTTGGATGTAAGTGACTGTAACATGGTCAAGTGTATTTAGGTGAAGGAAAAATTAGATGTCATCATAAGAGTCAATAAGAAAAATCAAGATGAAAAGAAAATGAAAGAAAGGATCCATAGATAAAGTGGGTCTTATATGATCACATTTAAAACTGTGTGGAGAGGGGCGTCTGGGTGGCTCAGTCGGTTAAGCATCCTACTTGGGCTCAGGTCAAGATCTCACCTCTCATGAGTTTGAGCCCCATGTTGGGTTTTGTGCTGACAGCTCAGAGCCTGGAGCCTGCTTTAGATTCTGTGTCTCCCTCTCTCTCTGTTCACACTCTGTCTCTCTCTTTCTCTCTCAAAAATAAATGTAAAAAAATTTTAAAAAAAGATTGTGGAGAGAAAATTTCAAGAGTGAAGTGTCATGAAACAAAGGCCATGTTCTGTGGGATTTTGAATAACTTTCTAAAAACTAGTTTCAGTGGAAGTGTCAAGCCATGTGTTCTCAATGGAAGCTTTTGGGGGCAGAAACCATCTTCGACATTGTAACTAATAGTTTCTGTTCTCTAAAGTTCAACTCCACCTGCCAGAATCTTAATCCATAGTATGTAATTTACCTTATTAAGAATACATTAAATTAAATTAATTAAATTATTTTAAGTTTAAAATATTCTCCTTATGGAGGCAGTTGTGAAAAAATACCTTCAGGAACCTTGTGCTAAACTTAAAGATAGAAGCTATTCTAGAAGAAAATTGCACATTGAAAGAGGGGTTGGGCTAGATGATCTCCAGTATGTGATTTTATAAGTTAGCACTTAAATCCTTTGCAAAATCAATTATAGGATGAAAACCATGTTTTTTTAATAAAAAAAAAATTCTTTTAATGTTTATTTATTTTGGAGATAGAGACAGAATACAAGCAGGGGAGGGGCAGAGAGAGAGACTGAGACAGATTCTCAGGGTCCAGGCACTAGCTGTCAGCACTGATCTCCATGCAGGGCTTGAACTCATGAACCGTGAGATCATGACCGGAGCCAAAGCCAGACGCTTAACTGACTGAGCCACCCAGGCACTCTGAAAACTATGTTTTAAGAGGACCCATGTGGCAGTGATTACCAGAGGGTGTGAACAATCAGACTCAATTAATGTGGCCACAGTTGGAATATAAATAATACACCCAGTCCTTGAAGAAACAATAGAACAATTGCATTGCATTGAAGAAAAAGGAACCTAAATAATTTTTTAAAAGGAAAGTCAAGTCAAAGGGCAGAAACATTCTGCTTTCTTTAATAATGGAATGGGATCAAGTAAAACCAATTTCAAGGTTGGGAGGAAGCATTTAAATAATGGCTTCACATGCAGAGGTTATAGTGACATTAAGTTATCATTGTTGAAATGTCAGCTAAGTATTTGAGGATAGGGTTGGCATTCAAGTGAGGCATCAGGATGAGAGATATATATCTGAAGGGCTCTCTGCAAAAAGGTAATAATTAGAATGATGACTTTTCTGAGATACAAATATATTCAGAGAGGTAACAGTTTGATTTTATAATTCACGTACTGAGAAGTAGGAGATGAGTCAGGGCTGAAACAGAATGAGCATGAGTAAAACAAATAAAGAATAAAATAGAGTATCATGAGGGGTGCCTGAGTGGCTTAGTCAATTAACCATCTGACTTCAGCTCATGTCATGATCTCGTGATCTGTGGTTCAAGCCCTGTGTTAACAGCTCAGAGCCTGGAGCTTGCTTCAGGTTCTGTGTCTCCCTCTCTCTCTGTCCCTCCCCTACTCATGCTCTGTCTCTTCCCATCTCTCAAAAATGAATAAGTGTTAAAAAAAAATTTTTTTTTCAACGTTTATTTATTTTTGGGACAGAGAGAGACAGAGCATGAATGGGGGAGGGGCAGAGAGAGAGGGAGACACAGAATCGGAAACAGGCTTCAGGCTCCGAGCCATCAGCCCAGAGCCTGACGCGGGGCTCGAACTCACGGACCGCGAGATCGTGACCTGGCTGAAGTCGGACGCTTAACCGACTGCGCCACCCAGGCGCCCCAAAATTTTTTAAAAATAATATAAAAAATAGAGTATCATGAAACTAAACAAAATGTGAATTCTAAGTAAACAGAAAAGAATGAAGAGATGAGACTAAGGAAAACTCAGAATTTGAAAAGGAGAAAAAGTTGGTGACTAGGCTCCTGCCATTCATCCTGTTCCTTCACCCCCTTGGAGTCCTCCCCTCGGGAAGGGAAATAGACTTTTCAAATGAGTTTGTGACTCCAAGTCACTCCTCTTTACTTATTTGGTAGAATCCTGGTTTTGTCTGAGCCAATTGTATTTCCAGATGGAAATTACTTACTGAGATTGAAATTACCTTACTCAGATTCTACCTTAACTTGAAGCAAAGGTTGAGGATCTTTGTAATCTTCAGGGTTGTTAGCACACTTACGTAGGCCGATACTAATACCCAGTTGCTGGAGTTCGTCACAGAAGTCTTTTAGAGTTTATGCAAATGCCAGCGTATAAAAGCAGAATTGACTTGCACAGGCTCCACCAAAGCAACTGAGAAGTATCATATCCAAAAATGAGTTAGTAGGTAAAAAATATACTTTAATGAAAATCTCTGTTGACTGGAGAGTGAATGTTTTCCTTTTTGCTTTCATAATTAGATCTTGACCCTTTCCCACCTGAGGAGCGTCCTGAGGTCAGAGTGAAAGAAGGGAAGGGAATGGTGCTTCTCTGTGATCCTCCCTACCATTTTCCAGGTAAATTAAGTTCCTCTGTGACTATAAGCATCTGTGCAATGAACGCATCAAGTTTTAATTTTCTTAACAATAATGATACATTTATGATTAAATAAGACTCAATATTTGTCTAACCTTGTAATGTATCACTTAATAATGGTTATAGACCCTTCTAGGCTCTCTAGTCACTTGGCCCTAATTCCAAAGGTCTGGAATCATATTGGTTTATAAACAACATATATGTTAGATTATGCCCTTATTAACATTCTTGTTACACAGGAGAAAATATGATAGAGTATTTACAAATTATTTTAAAAATAGAATAGTGCTGGTCAGTCATTTCATTAAAAATATTATATCTACAGTATACTGTGAATTATATAAATGCTTAAAAAGGATAAAGACATAATAAATTACTAATCTCTTTAGGGCATCTATCTGCAAGAATAATCATCCAATTTAGAAAGGGGTTAAATTGTCATCTGTAACAAGATTCAACCTTTGAATACTGGTTTTCTGTACTTTGATATGGCTAAAAGAAAAGCCACCAAGTGCTAATTAAAAGATGAACACTTTATATACTTTCATTAATTTTCATTTGCTTTTTTTATAAAATATCTTCTTGAAACAATATATAAACACTACTTTTCACAGTGGAAAAAAACAATGTTTTATATTCTAATATTATGGCATAAATTTGTCTTTAAAGACCTTCGTAGAGAATATATTCTATTACAATTATATGTATATGAAGTCTGGTTGTTTATATATCAAATATCAGTAGTTTTCTCTCTAATAAAACAGGAGAAATACTATTAAATGTTAAATATAGGAGGAACATAGAATTCAAAATGATGTAACAACCTTTCTATGAGAGAGTAATCTTTTATTATGCAGAACTGCTAAAACTACAGGGAAAAAAAATCCCCTGATCTCCATAGCATTTCCCACAAACAAAGATAATGATCATAAATAGCCAATGACTACATTTGACTACATTCAGCACTGGATGGGCTTCATTTAATCACTCATTCATTCAACAAATCTCTTGTGAGCACCTGTTATACAATTACGTGTGCCAGGCACTGTGTATGCCGCAAGAATACCTATTTGAGTAAAACAGGAAAATCCACCTGCCCTCAGGGACTTGCTGCTGGAAGAGACAGCCAACAGACAAGATCCATAGTTAACAGGTATAGCTTTTCCAAGATTCCATTTGAACTACATTCCTACCAAGATATTGGTAGTAGGTAAGCTCCAGGGTGGAAAATTAATTCAGGGAAGGGAAAGAGTAAGTGTTAAAGGGATAGCTGAACTCTTGTAAGGGACAATGCTGTGAAGGTAACTTTGAATAAAGCCCTGAAGGAAATGAAGAAGCTAACAGTGCAGATGTCTGAGATAAGGGCATACCAGGCGGATGAAGCAGCAGGAGCAAGGGGTGAGATGGGACTATGGAGGGAGATCAAGGAAGTCAGGGTGACTGAAATAGAGCGAATGAGGTAGAAGGTAGTAAGAAATGAAATTGGAGAGACACAAGAGCTGTATCACATGGGACCTTATAATTCATAGTGATTACACTGGCTTTAACTAGAGTGAGATTTTCATTGGAGGGCTTAGACCAGAGGAGTCCAATGACATTGCTTAAGTTATAGAAAGATGAGTCTGGCTGCTGTTTTAAGAAAAGACTTAGTGGAAATTCATTTCTAAATCTGTTACTCAAAATAGGAGTGCAAAAGGAAAAAGATATAAAGACACAGTGTGGTTAACAATCTTCATTTTATTTTTAAAATGCATTAGGGAAGATGGGTCATGAAATTTTGGAATTTCCTATATTAATGCAGGGTCTGATTCTACTTACCAATCATGAAATTCTAAGCAAAACATTTAACCTCTGAGTCTCATTTAGCCTATCAGTGAAATCGAAGTAAGAATATTAATAGTCCATACAATATTTGAGAGAGAAAGACAGATACCATTGCTTATCGCCATGCTTATATTTACTAAAAAAAAAAAAAATATGGTAGCTTTTGGAAAAAGCACTGTTTGTCTTGGCTTACATCCAACATTTGTTCTGCAATAGCCTAGTTTGGATTATGCCTTAGCTTACTGCTAGAAAACAACAGTTATAAGAGACAATATTTTCTTCCAGATGACCTTAGCTACCGCTGGCTTCTAAATGAATTTCCTGTATTTATCACAATGGATAAACGAAGATTTGTGTCTCAGACGAATGGAAATCTCTACATTGCAAATGTCGAGGCATCAGACAAAGGCAATTATTCCTGCTTTGTATCCAGTCCTTCTATTACAAAGAGTGTGTTCAGCAAATTTATCCCACTCATTCCACAACCTGAACGTAAGTATTTTGTTACATGCTATTTTTGCAGATTGTCTGCTTATGGGAGTACTTACAATATGAAAAGAAATATCCAGTGGGAAGACTTGTTGGCTGCCCAGTCAGGGCATACAGAAGATACACAAACAGAAGACTTTGCAAGTCTTGGTCATTACTTAGTTTTTCTGATGGAGATTTACATGTTAAAAGTGCCCTAAGATGGTCCAGGTCAGACTGGTTGTTTCTAGTTCAGAGAATGTGTAGGCACTGATTCATTAGCCTAATACCCATATATTGGTTACAGTGGGAATCACTGACCTCTGCTTTTATTCTCATGTCCATTCAAAGTTTTTAGTAACTTAATGAAAGAGAACAAATGATTAGATCAAAATAAGCTATAGTGATTATAGAATTAGGAAATAAACGCAGTTTTATTACTATGATATTTTAAGGAACTATTTACATGAAGCAAATTAGTGTATGTATTGCCTTTCTGCTATAAGTAAGTAGCATGGGGTATCACTACCATGATGCCATAATTGATGATTACTGACAGACCTGAATGGCATTTCCAAGATTCCAGTTGAACAGCATTCCTTATTTTAATGCATCACTTCCTAAGAAAATCAGACTTTAACATATTTGCTTACTTCCCATTGTTTTTATCATAGTCCTCCTGTTACCACTCACATCAGTGAGTTCAGGCTTCTGAAGAAATACTGGGAATTGTTGTTCACAGACCTAGGCTTGGTTCCTGCCTCTATTCTAAATAAGAAATGGGGAAAATGTCATCATATCACTGTGGCTGCATTTTTTCTACTCAAGATTGTGGTCACGTAGTTGGTATTCAATAAATATTTTTTGACTTCTGGCTCTTTTTTCTCTCCACAATCTTGGAGACACTTGAGATCTACTACCTCATAGAATCATAAGCAGCCAGCGTGTAAAAACTATAGGTTTCTTTCTTATTCTACCCCAGAAGTTCATCTCATCTATTTATTTCTTACTAGCATCTCTGTGGAAGAAGTGTTTCTCTTCCTGTTCTAGCTAATTCTTCCAGTTGCACTAGTTCATTTACCATTTGATTCATTTAGAGACTTCACTATATCATTTAATTCCTGCTTTTTTTTTCAGAATCTTTATTCTCCATTCATTTCCCTCTGTGTATTCTTTTGTATTAACTGCAAACAATCTTGACAATTTCTTATTTGCTAAATCCAAAGTATACTTTTCAGTTCTGAATTTGTATGAACTTTGACACTATTGATCTCCTATGCTTCTCTTGAACTCTTCTTTCTTTTCCTAATTTTCCCAGCTCCTTCCCTCCCCTTGTCTTCCACCTGCCTCTCTGACAAATTCTATGCAGTACTCTTCCCCAGATCTTCCTCCTTCTTATATTTCTCTCTAATCTTTTTTCAGATATTCTTACCAATTTATGCCTTTCGACAGCAGCACTATGGAGATGAGTCCACATTCTTATGTCTAAAACTTTTCTCTTTGTTTAGGACTTAATTCTACCTACCTCCTAGACTTGTCATACAGAATGTTTTTGAGAATGTTAAGTTCAAAATGTTCCAGACACATCTGTCATCTCATGTCTAAAACTTCTAGTGCTCTTCATCTTGTTTGGTGGTACTGTCATATCTCTACTATCTTAGAATAGCATTTTTAATCCTCAAGTCCTGTCCTCTCCTCATCCTCCAGATAGCTAATTCAGTGGTCTGCAGTTAGTATGTAAGCACTTGGGAAGTTTGCGGAAATGTACAACCCAGAAATACTAATTCAGCAGGTCTGGGATGTGACCCAGGAATTTGTAGGTTCAGCAAGCATCCCCCGTGATTACAACAAATTGGATCTTTTATCTATGAGTTGTGAAAACATTGAACCAAAGAGCAGTCCTGTTGATTCTGCCTCTGAAAGACGGCTTCGACCAGTTCTTTCCTTTTTATTCCTACTGCTCAAGCCCTCATCTGTTTTGCCTGAAGTAATGACAAAGCCTTCCTTAGATACTCTTCTAAAATTCTCTTCTCCATGTTCCATTCTTTAAAACTTCCAACAAGATTTTCTACTTAAACCAAAGGTGATATTCATATAAATTCTCTTTCCCAAATGCACTGGCACTTAATCACCAAGGAAATTATTCTCAAAATGTTTACTGTCACAGTTTCAAGCCTTCTAGATAATAGATTCAAGCTCATCTTCAACACATATATTTTGTGAATTTTTGAAAAAATTCCCTGCATACTCCTGAAACTTTGTCTTAATATGTTGTTTCCTCAACCCAAACTGGTCTGGTGAATTCGAATACTCTTCTTGCCTGAAATTCCCATAGGCCCTGCATAATCAACCATCCTCCTTAGCTGCCACCCTTTCAGACCACTTATTTTTGTTTTGACTTGTATTTTCAGTCATTGTGTATCTATTTGTCTCTCTAGTACCAATGAAGTGCAAAGTACCATTCATACTATAATCTTAAACCATGCATTTTGCCTTTCTGAGCCTGTTTCTGTGACTGTAAGATTGAGGGAATAAAGCATCTCTCAGTACAGATGTGCTCAATGCATTCAATAAGGTAACTATATTGATAAGCACAGTGTTGTCTGAAGAAACACTTTTCTTCGTTCCCTCTCTCCTTCCCTCTTTTCAACTTATTTCCCTTTTGCCATATGCATGTCTTTCTTCTTTTTTCCCTCTTTTCTCGCCTGGCCTCTTTCTTTTACACTCTTCTCTCTTCCTTCTACCCTTCTCCCTCATTTCCCTTGTCCTTTCTCTTCCTTCCTGAGTCTCATTTAGCGCCTGGCACAGTGTTTCACACATTTTTGATGCTCTTTAAGACTTCTCGAAAAAAAAATTTTTTTATATTTATTTTTGAGACAGGGAGAGACAGAGCATGAACAGGGGAGGGTCAGAGAGAAGGAGACACAGAATCCGAAACAGGCTCCAGGCTCCGAGCTGTCAGCACAGAACCCGACGCGGGGCTCGAACTCACGGACCGCGAGATCATGACCTGAGCCGAAGTCAGCCACTTAACTGACTGAGCCACCCAAGCGCCCCTTGAAAATTTTTTTTAGTGAATTGAGTAAAATTAGTTACACAGCTTGAGAATGAGTCAATATGATTGGAAATGCTTGATGAAATTTATGCTATATACATACTATGCATAAACAAGTAAGTCTATGCATTGTGATATGATCAGATAGTTCCCAGTACTTGAGAAATGTCTTCCATACTGAAGTAATTCTATCAAAATTACAATATTGAAAAAAAACTCTTTTAATTCTGCCTAATAATTAGTGGATATTTGTATTTTTCTTGATATTAGGAACAACAAAACCATATCCTGCTGATATCGTAGTTCAGTTCAAGGACATTTATGCATTGATGGGCCAAAATGTGACATTAGAGTGTTTTGCGCTTGGCAAGTAAGTATACTTATATTTTTTATTAACATATATAGAAATATATTAATTTTTGTACCATTTAGGAAATAAATGATGTAAGTGTTTAGCTATAGAGAAACAAAGTAATTTACTTTGAAATGTTGTGGACCCTTAGCTTTTGTTATCTCCTATTTAAAGTCCCGTTCCTGATATCCGATGGCGGAAGGTCCTAGAACCAATGCCAAGTACTGCTGAGATCAGCACCTCTGGGGCTGTCCTCAAGATCTTCAATATTCAGCTAGAAGATGAAGGCACATATGAATGTGAGGCTGAGAACAATAGAGGAAAGGATAAACACCAGGCAAGAATTTATGTTCAAGGTAGACATGTTATTTTAATTTTCTGTAAATTGCATCAGTATCTTATTTATAGCCATTTCCATACTTGAAAAGCTAGTATATAATAGTTTAAAAACAGTGATGTATCTTATATTATGCAAAAAGGTGAAATATTTATCCAAATATGGCTTATAAAAGTTATAAACTTCTCTTAGCATCATACTAACATCAATGGATTCATAGTAGTGTTCTTGATAATTTTCTGAAAATACAATTGATGTAACTTGTTGACTCCCTTCCTTGTTCTTTTTTTCCCCCAATACCTTTTTATTTGTAGAAGAAACTATGCATTATGACTCAGGCTAAGCCACTGACTTGCAAACTCAAGTATGCTTCAAAATCACCTGGAGGGCTTATTAAAACACAGATTGCTGGTTCCCAGAGTTTCTGAGTTAGAAAGTTCTATTTAGGGCCCATGAATCTGCATTTCTAATAAGTTCCTAAAAGATGCTAATGCTACCAGACCAGGAGCCACAGTTTGAGAACTTCCTTTTTTCCAAAAGAGGAAAAAAAAATTTTTGAAGCAGTTTTCTTGGTCAAGTGTTTGATTCAGACACACACACGCACACCCACACACACGCACACCCACACACTTATATTTAAGGGGATAGAATGTTGTGTTTCAGGGACCACTTGAAACTTTTCGGCTGAAATCATTTCTGTATTATTGTACAATATAAAACTTAAAGATCACAACTAAGCAAACATCTGAGGTTTCAGTAAGCCTGTTCATTTAAAGGACAAGCATCCATTGAGTGTCTACTCAGAGACACACACTATGACAGGAACAAGTGGAACTAGATAAGAGAAATACTCTCTCTGTCCTCTGTCCAGGATTCATACTGTTTTCATACTACATACAAACCTCTACATTTATACCAGTATACACAAGCAACTGAACATATGCCTCCATACACATGTGAGAGCCAAACTGTGATATCGGAATGGGGAAGGGGCATTGTGGCCCCTACCCAGACCCAGGCCTCTGTCTATACAGGGATGAAGTAAGTGCCTCCAATGACTTAACACATGAAGTCTCACCACCACCATCCCATAGAATTCACCAGGATTAGGCTCTTTTTGCCTTTACCCTGTTCATTCCATTTGGCACAGAAAGCCACGCACTCCAGGCCTCCCTTATCATCTGAACTTTAACACCTACACAGCTCTGCACATGTCCTTCTCAGTCTCCATCTCCTCCCCATCCCTAACTTCTGAAACCTTTGTACCATACTTTCTACAACACACAGGCTGCTGTCATCGCAATCCCCTATATTCTCAACTTCTCTATAACTTCTACTCTGAACTTCTCACTTAACTGAAACATGGTTCTCCCTTAAAGACACTGCTTCCCCTGTAATCCTCTCAGGCAGTGGCTAATTTTCTTCCACAGCTCTCATTCCCTTTGGTTTGCAGTATACCTGCTCTTCTTGTTCCATACACTGTTTCTAGACTACGTTCCATCTCTTTTCCTTTAAATGTCCAGTTAACTATCTGTCAGGACAAACCCCCTCATTTCTCTAAGGATTTTGCTCTTGGAAGCTCTTACAAACCAGAACACTACTCTTGACATTCTTCGTGACATCAAAATCAACTTAGACTATGATTATCTTTAGTAGTTTGGCCTCTCCGTTCTATTGAACTCCTCTTCCCTAATGATCTTGTCTGTCAACCCACCTGAGCAACCCGTTCCCATGGCCACACTTCAGACCTCAATGTTACCAAAAAGTACAATCCCTTTATTTTTTTAATGTTTATTTATTTTTAGATAGGGGTGTGGGTGCAGAGAGGGAGAGAGAGAGAGAATCCCAAGCAGGCTATACATTCAGCATGGACCCGATGCGGGGCTTAATCTCATGGTCAACTGTGAGATCATGACCTGAGCCAAAATCAAGAGTTAGACACCTAAGTAACTGAGCCATCCAGATGCCCCCCTCCAAATTACAATCCCTTTATAATCTCAATTTCACACATTTCTTTCAAACCACTATCTCCTATCTTTCTAGTTCAGTCTCTCTAATACCCTTGGACTCTACCAGGAACGATAACCAATTAATCTGGCAACGGTTTAACATTCTTTCACTTCCGCTAACCTCTACCTACCTCTTCCCTAAACCTGTGATCATTCATAACTGTTCCCCTGCACTCCTCCACAATGCACTGACCACCTTCTGTTTTGTCTTACTACCTTTGTAAAAGGCCAACCCCGGAAAAATCGAGGTTTTTGCCTACAGTGCCTGAACCAGGGGCTTGAATATGACTTAAGATAAACATCACCATACTTATTAGAGCATTTTAAATTATTCATCACTAACTTCAACTGGGCCCTTGGTGCTGCCTGGCAATTATATTTTACTTCCACAGGCCCACTTACTCTTGCAGTCCCTTAGATGACCTACTCATGCCTTCACAGTTTACTTCAAACCCTAACACCTCCTCCTTCAACCTTACTCTCAGCTGATAACTTGGCTTCTTCTTTCACTGAGAAAATGAAAGATCAAGTTAGAACTTCCACAGGCTCCCACCCCACGTCTATCCAATACCTTTACCCATATCTCATTGCTATGGATTCAGCTGCTATCTGAGGCCGACACCTCTACTCTGTGCTTGATTGTACCCTCCTACTTCCTTAAGGCTGTTGTTCCAGCAATTCCCTCTCTGGCGAAAGTAATCGCCGGATTTTTTCAATGGATCATTCTCATCAGTGTATAGTGGCTCTTGTTTCCTACTTCTTTAAAATACTTTTAAATCTGGCTGCTGCTCCATTTCCCTTCTTCTTGTCTCCCTGACAGATTTGTCTATACTTTCTAAATATGCTGTGGTCAATTTTTCTTCTTTTTAAAATTCATTCTTGTTTGAGTCTCATACCTACCTCCCTGCCGGAATCTTGTCTTGATCACCAATGACGTCATGTTGCTGAAGCAAATGGCCACTTCGCAGCTGTGTCTTACCTGATCCAGCAGCAACAGACGCCCCTGTTGACTGTGCTGTCCTCCACTGTCCGCTCTCTGTGCTTCGCATCTGGGATCCATACTTTGCTAACATCCTTATGCACCACTTGCATTCTCCTCCTCAATCCATATGCCCTTCGAACATGGGAGCAAGCAGGGTTTGTCTCTGAAAATCTTCTCTATTTCCTCACAACCTTGGTGATTTCATCTATGATCATGGCTTTAATTAGGCTCTAGCACCTGAAAATTCTGACCCAGATACTTTCTTGGAACCCTAGACTTGTATATTCAGTACCCCAACAAAATTCACTTGATACATATCAAGTATACATAGGTGACCTCCAGAAGAGAGGAAAATTTTGGTTAGAGTCTTACATTACATTTTTTAAATAAAGCTGGCATTCTACCAGGTTTCTAGTGCTTATAGATCTGTTTTTATTCAGTGTACTAAGAAAACTACGATCCAGGTTTTTAGCCGAGTAGAGTTCTAAACTATATAATGTCTAATTCTTTAGGAGAATCAAGGTGACAGCAGATATTTGTAAGGGAATCTTATTAAGGGAACTATTATTGTTCCTTTACTAATGAAACACACTCAGTTTTTATCTTTTGGTGTAATCAAACAACCAGTTTACAAAATTAAATCATAGTCAAGCTGATTCCATTATTTATTCTTATTGTATTTTTTAATGTGATATCTTGTGTGTTAGAGTCCAAGGCATGAAAGGTGCTCATATTCCTGTTTTATGTATTGCCAAGATTGTCTACAAAATAAAACCTCTCTCAATTAACATTCTTATCAATATTTAATTTTTAATACTGTCTACATATGTTACCAAAATGTAATGATAAGTGAAAATATACTAAATCAGATTATTGTGTTATAAATACACACACGCATATAATCTTGATGGGATTATATCTAGTGAGATCATAAAAATGTTTTATACTCTTTATTATTTATATGTATTAAATACTTTCTATAAGACATGTATATTATTTTGTCATAAAATTAGTATATCAAAGTTTTCTTTTTTAAAGAAAATAAAATACTATCCTCCACTCACAATTAATTCTCTATTCCTACCTCCTTTATTTTATATCAATTTATTTACCTACAGTTATTTATTTATTTATTTATTTATTTATTTATTTATTTATTTATGAGAGAGAAAGAGGGAGCACAAGTGGGGGGCGGCAGACAGAGAAGGGAACACAAAATCTGAAGCAGGCTGTGTCCTGACAACAGAGAGTCCAATGTGGGGCTTGAATTCACAAACCGTGAGATCATGACCTGAGCCAAAGTCAGAGGCTTAACCGACTGAGCCACCCAGGTACCCCCCTACGTACATTTATTGAAACTATTTAACTTAAATACTCAAAAAAAATATCATAGTGTCCATTTGCTTGCTCTCTAGAAATATTTACTTGTGGTATGGGAAATACTTAGCAGTTTTCTTTAGCTACCAGATCAGATGAAATGATGAAGCTGAAATTAATTTCACTAAAGCATGGATTTCACCAATTATAGCTCCTGTATGTGGTTTCTAATATTGAAAGAGTAATTATGTGATCAAGGCATTTTTCTAATCCTACAGTAAAATGTGACAGTGGCGACTAGGTGAATGGTACATCAAAAGGAGGACACCTGAGGAAGTGGAAAAAATTTTGATTCTTTATTCCAAAAGAAAATACTTAGTGTCATACTCAATGAAGCCATAATTTAAAAAAAAAATTTTAATGTTTATTTATTTTTGAGAAAAAGAGAGTGAGCAGGGGAGGGGCAGAGAGAGAGGGAGACACAGAATCTGAAGCAGGCTCCAGGCTCTGAGCTGTCAGCACAGAGCCTGATGTGGGGCTTGAACTCACAAACAACGACATCATGACCTGAGCCAAAGTTGGATACTTGACCAACTGAGCTACCCAAGTGCCCCAAAACATAATTTTTTAAAAATGTTACAGGTGAGAAAATTTTTTTTTTAATTTACATCCAAATTAGCATATAGTGCAACAATGATTTCAGGAGTAGATTCCTTAATGCCCCTTACCCATTTAGCCCATGCCCCCTCCTGCAGGCGAGAAATTTTTAATTTTTTAATGTTTATTCATTTTGGAGAGAGAGAGAGAAAGAGACAGAGTGTGAGCAGGGGAGGGGCAGAGAGAGAGAAAGACACAGAATCTGAAGCAGGTTCCAGGCTCCGAGCTCTGAGCTGTCAGCCCAGAACCTGATATGGAGCTTGAACTCACAAACCGTGGGATCATGACCTGAGCAGAAGGCAGATGCTTAACCAATTGAGCAACCCAGGTGCCCCAAGACATAATTTTTTAAAACCTTAATTGTCATTTTGAAAGATTTAAGTTATAAGAAAAGATAAATTACTGTAGTGTTACTCATGAATTAGCTTTCTAACAACACATGGTTCACAAATAGGAAAATAATTATGAATTGATTATAGTTACTTCATGTTATAAAAATGTAGGATAAAATTTACCTGAAGACCTATGGGGATGCAATTTCAATGGCTCTAACGCTGGTTTTATGGCATATATAATATCTGATGTATTCTCCAGAAGAAGATCAACCAAATGTGACGTTTGCATTCTTGAGATTATTTTGAGTGTTGAGATTTGAGTCTGACACTTACAATGTTCTTTAACTTTCAGCGTTTCCTGAGTGGGTAGAACATATCAACGACACAGAGGTGGATATAGGCAGTGACCTCTATTGGCCTTGTGTGGCCACAGGGAAGCCCATCCCTACAATCCGATGGCTGAAAAATGGATACGCGGTATGTATGTTCAAGCGTTTTGCGGTTCTTGAGTCCATACTCAGGCACCATTTCCAGTGGTCCTCAGATAAATTTAGCAAGAGAATCAATAGAGTAAGGGTATCTTGGCCCTAAAATTAAATAAATAAATAAATAAATAAATAAATAAATAAATAAATAAATAAATAAATAAATCTTCTAAAAAAGGCAAACAAGGAAGTGAACAATAACTTTCAGTTTAAAACAACTTTTCTGCAATCTTATGTCTACCTTCTCTCTCTCTTCCTCTCTCTCCTTATTTTGCCCTTTGTTCCACATTTTGCCCTGCTTCCTACTTTTCCTTCTCTACTACCTGATATTGTCCTCTTTTTTTTGGCCACTATTTCCCTGACCCCACAGAAACAGAGGTAAGAGGGAAGGTTCTACCTTTAGCCCTGGGGACAAGTAGCAGCAGTGGGGCCCTTCTGTACCTTCCCTCTGTAATCTCCCAGCTGGGCCAAGAGGGAAAAAGTGGACTCCCAGCTCTGTAGGATGAATAGAACAAGAGCCACTGGGCATGGTAAGTGGGTTTTAAACCCTACCGTATCTGGCTTAGTTAACAGTGGGGGCAAAATATTGTACCTGAATGAAAAGGCAAACCAGCCCAGACCTAAATAAAAGCATTTCTGTTAAAGTTGATCAAGGAAATGTATTTTGCTTTGTCTTCTTTTCAGTATCATAAAGGGGAGTTGAGACTGTATGATGTGACTTTTGAAAATGCTGGCATGTACCAGTGCATAGCTGAAAACACACATGGAGCCATATATGCAAATGCGGAGTTGAAGATCTTGGGTCAGTATCATTTCTAGTTTCTGATAACATTCAGCAAGAAAGCACCACATTAAACAATGATCATAAGGGTTTCTGCAGATCATATTTGATTGTATGTTGGATCGCTAAAGGTGACAACTTGCAAAATGTGGTTTGGAACAGGATGATATTGTTGTTTTATTTCTCTTCTTTCATTGGAGAACAGTAAATAAGTTAGAGGCAGCATGGAGTACAATAGTTTAAAAAAATGTTTTACAGGTAAAGCAAACTTTACACACGCTAGTTTTTACAAGTCTTATTCTCTCCTATGTCTGGGCTGTTAAATACTTCCTGAAAATCACATTGTGGTGATTGATGCTTCCACAATGCATGTGACCCAGTCTCAGATGGATCTTCAGCACTTGCTAGTTATAGCAGTCTTTGGATCTCATATCCTACAATTGATATTTAAAATCCTCAGGACATTCCTCAAGCTCTTTACTCCACCCTGACTCCTTCTTTGGTATTGCTTTCTTACTCTGCCATAACAATTGAAACCCTTTGAAATAAAATATATCAATTTCCTATCCACATTCAAAAGTATGTAAATCTTTACTACATTTTCCCCTTCATGTTCTTCATCCAGAGGCGTGAGTATCTCTCCTCTCTAAAACAGGCATACCTCATCTCGTTTCATTGCATTTCACAGATACTGCGTTTTTACCAATTGAAGGTTTATTGCAATCCTGCAGTGAGCAGGCATATTTCCAACAGCATTGGCTTACTTCATGTCTCTGTATTACATTTTGGTAATTTCACAATATTTAAGACTTTTTCATTATTATTATATTTGGTATGTTAATCTGTAGTCAGTGGTCTTTGATATTACTATTGAAACTGTTTTCAGGCACCATGAACCAGGCCCATATACGAGAGCAAACCTAATCAATACATGTGTGTGTTCTGACTGCCCACATTCCTTCACCTCGAGCCTCCCTATTCTCTGAGACACAGCAATATTGAAATTAGGCCAGCTAATAAGCTTACAATGGCTTCTGGGTGTTCAAATGAAAGGAAGAGTCAGACATCTCTTACTTTCACACAAAAGCTAGAAATGATTAAGCTTAATGAGGAAGGAATGTCAAAAGCTGAAATAGGCTGAAGGCTAGGTTTCTTGTGCTAACCAGTTAGCCAAGTTGTGCACGCAGAGGAAAAGTTCTTATGATTAGAAGTGCAGGTCTAGTGAGCACATCAATGATAAGAGAACAAAACAGCCTTATTGCTGATTTGAAGAAAGTTTTAGTGGTCTGAATAGAAGATCAGATCAGCCACATTATTCACTTAAGCCAGAGCCTAATCCAGAGCAAGGCTCTTACTCTCTTCAATTCTGTGAAGACTGAAAGAGGGGAGGAAGCTGCAGAAGAAAAGTTTAAAACTAGCTTAGGTTGGTTCATGAGGTTTAGAGTAGAGAAAAGAGGAAATGGCTTCACAGCTGACACTTTTGTTGGGGACTAATGTGGCTGGTGACTTTCAGTTGAAGGCAATGCACATTTGCCATTCTGAGAATCCTACAGCCCTTAAGAATTATGCTAAATCTAATCTGTCTGTGCTCTGTAAAGGGAACAACAAAGACTGGATGACAGCACATCTGTTGACAACATGGTTTACTGAGTATTTTAAGCCCTCTGTTGAGAACTACTTATCAGAAAAAAAAAAAAAAAAAGATTGCTTTCAAAATACTACTGCTCCTTGACAACACACCTGGTCACCCAAGAACTCTGATGGAGATGTACGTGAGATTAATGTTGTTTTCATGCCTGCTATCACAACATCCATTCTGAGGCCCTTGAATCAAGGAGCAATTTCAACTTTCAAATTTTATTATTTAAGAACTGCATTTCATAAGGCTCTAGGTGTCACAGATGGTGATTTCTCTGATGTCTCTTGGCAAAGCAAATTGAAAAATCTATGAAAAGGATTCACTATTCTGGATACCATTAAGAACTTTCATGATTCATGGGAAGATGCAAAATATCATCAACATGCGCAGGAGATGGGAAGAAGTTGATTCTAACCCTCAGAGATGACTTTGTGAGGTTCAAGACTTCAGTGGAGGAAGTAGCTGTAGATGTGGTGGAACTGGAAAGAGAACTAGAATTGGAAGTGCAGCCTGAGGATTTCACTGAATTCTTCTAATCTCATGATAAATCTTGAGCGGATGAAGAGTTGCTTCTTATGGATGAGCAAATAAAGTAGTTTCTTGAGGTGGAATATACTCCTGGTGAAGATGCTGTGAAGATTGTTGAAAAGACAACAAAGGATTTAGAATATTACATCAACTTAGCTGATAAAGCATGGCTAGGTTTGAGAGGATTGGCTCCCATTTTGAAAGAAGTTCAGTGGTGAGTAAAATGCTATCAAATGGCATCACATACCACAGAGAAATCTTTCATGAGAGGAAGAGTCCATCGATGGGGCAAGCCTCATTGTTGTCTTTTTTCAGAAATTTCCACAGATGCCCCCCCACCACCAACCTTCAGCAACTATTACCCTGATCAGTCAACAGCCATCAACATGGAGGCAAGACCCTCCACTAGCAAAAAGACTATGACTCGCTGAAAGCTCATATGATGGTTAGCATTTTTTAGCAATAAAGTATTTTTAAATTAAGGTATGTACGTTGTTTATTTTCAGACATAACGCCATTTGCACAGCGAATAGGCTATAATATAGTGTAAATATAACTGTTGTATGTATTGGGAAACCAAAAAATTCATGTGACTCACTTGTGACTTTTGCTTTATTGGGGTGGTCTGGAACCTAACCTGGAATATCTCTGAGGTATCCCTGTAATCCCTTTACCTCTGCCCTATATTCATTTCTTTTCACTTACCCTGTACTTGATATGAACAGATATCTCTTCTCCATGTGCATAGGTGTGTTCATATCTTTCATGCTGCCTCTCCTTTTAATCATGTTTTATTCTTGAATTCTCTGCTTCTTTGGCTTTGGGGACTCCATGCTTTCATACCTTCCAGATTATTTCTTCTTGATCATTTTTATTTTTTCCTCTTTATCCCTTCCTCTGCTCAGTTAGAAATCCTGCTCTCAGATTCCATTCTTATGGTTTCATTCTATTCTGTAACCCACTTTTGTCTCATATTCTATATTATTATTCCCAAATTATTATTTTCAAATTTTTAGAAATCCTTGATAATTTCTTCTTCTTCCATTAACTGTCATTGATTCTTTATATCACTGGCTCAGGTTTTTATCCTTAGCTCAATGTAAAGCTTCCTAATAGGAATGTTCATCTGGTAACCTGACAGATAACCCAGACTTAGCGTGTCTGAAGCTATAATCCTTATTTCTCACTCACCTTATCCTGAAAAATTCTGTTCTATAGAATGACATAATTCATTACATCTTTTCTTTATATCACATCTACTAAATTTCTCAATGTTACCCCATAAATCTCACATTCTCCTTACTTTCATTACAACTACTTTAATTAAGGCCTTACTGTAATATGTCCTTTTCATTTTATTTTAATTAGCTGTCATCAGCTTTAGTCATGTTCTAAGTAATGAATCTAGATGTAGCCAGGCTTTGTCTTCTACAACTGATTACCAAAAAGATAAAGCAGTGACTCTAAAGTGTGGCCTATTTTATTATTGCTACACCAAAGGGAAATTCTTTAAAATATTGCTATCAGGGGCGCCTGGGTGGCTCAGTCAGTTGGGTATCTGACTTTGGCTCAGGTCATGATCTCACAGCTCTGTGGGTTCAAGCCCCACGTCGGGCTCTGTGCTGACGGTTCGGAACCTGGAGCCTGCTTCGGATTCTGTGTCTCCCTCTCTCTCTGCCCCTAGCAGCTCGCATTCTGTCTCTGTCTCTCTCAAAAATAAATAAATATTAAAAAAATTTTAAATTTTTTTTTTCAACGTTTTTATTTATTTATGGGACAGACAGAGACAGAGCATGAACGGGGGAGGGGCAGACAGAGAGGGAGACACAGAATCGGAAACAGGCTCCAGGCTCCGAGCCATCAGCCCAGAGCCTGACGCGGGGCTCGAACTCGCGGACCGCGAGATCGTGACCTGGCTGAAGTCGGACGCTTAACCGACTGCGCCACCCAGGCGCCCCAATATTAAAAAAATTTTAAAAAATTATTGCTATCACTATAAATTAACACTAAAAAATATGAAAGAATATGAAAAACTAACTTTAAGAAGAGTTGAGGCCTTCTTAATTTTAATTTTCCCTGTCTCTTTTTATAATGCTGAAGATCATATTCCATTTATTCCCTCCAAGGTAAAAATTCTTTGCTGATATATTTAATCTACTTTATTTGGGTATCAAACAAACATTCAGGCTCAGGCTTCATACCATGTTACTTTATTATGAAATACAATAAAATTGTTTTGACTCTTATACAAGATATGAGGTGACTTTGAATGTTTTTCCAAATGTTAGCTTTTTATTTTTTGTTAAAATTTATTTATCATGCTATGTTACAAAATATTAAGAAAATTCAACAGCTCAGGATGAAAGATCTCTCCATATTCAAGCACAAAATTTATCAGTATTCTAATGGCTTTTATTAAACAAACTGCTTGAGTGTTTTCAGCCTTATAGTAATGTTTCTGGGCATCTTTATATTTGTTTGAATCAATTTTTGTTTATTAGCTTTAGAAACAATGCTTCTCTCTATATATATTCATTTTCTATCTAGGTAATTCATTTATTCACCCACCAAATATTTTTTGGGAACTTATTCTACACCAGATATTATTCTTTTTAATAGACACAGTAAAGAATGATAGACAAAAAAAAAAAAACAAAAAAACAAAACAAAACATGCATGTCTTCTTAGTTTGGGGACAAATATTCCCTCATTTTCCTACTTCTAAAATATGTAGGAACATAGTTTGGATTCTTTCACTATAAATTCAAATACTGGATAAGTATGAAGTCATTTAAGCAACTGTATGAAATCAACTTTTTTCATTAAAACTCAGATTCAAGAAAAATTCTAATTTTCTAAATGAATTTAGATTTTTAAAATATAATTCCATTAAATTTTCTTTCCTATTTGACAAGCAATATGTCACCCAGAATATTTATTGAGCCTCTACAAAATTCTACACACGGAGTTAGGTGTACAACACAAGTTGGTTGGTTACTTATTTGTTTATTGTCAGTTATCAAAACTCAGACCAAAAGAACAATGGGATAAACTAAATCCTTGCTATAAAAGTGTGTCCCACAGAGCAGCAGCAGCAATAACAACACCTGAGAGCTTGTTAGAAGTGCTGAATCTCAGGTCCACACCAGGCCTACTTAATCAACATTTTACCAAGATCATCACATTATTTTGATGTACAAATAGAATTTGAGAGTTACAGGACTAGCAGATGACCAGCTAATATCTGGACAAAGATATACTTGGGCCTGGAAAAGCCTACAGAGTGGACACAGTTACATACAGAGACTGGATGTATAGAAATAAATGGATGCCCCCTCCACCAAGAATTCTGCTAGAATACAAGGAAATTAAGAAATGAGCCAGATGTGGGAGACCTAAAGAAAAATAGAGCACGTCATCACTGAAGTAACCTTTTAAGAGGCTCTATATTCTGTTTTTCGTAAGCTCTGTACTTTGACATAAGGAGAAACTATAGGTGGATCATGTACCCTTCAATTAATTGCATCCATCACTCCCATGGATGTTTGCAGGTAGGTCTAAAGGCAGACATATGTTCATTTTGGCATCAGAGCGTCTGCACACAGTTGGTACTCAAGAAATGTTTGCATACTGAAGGGGGAATCATATTGTTTAATTAAAAGAGGATGCTGGCAAATCAGTAGGAAAAAGATTCAATTGTGAATCCTACCTGATACTGCCTATGGCATCTTTGGCAAATTATATAATCTTAATAGATATCAGTTCTCTCATTTGTACACTGGAGACGGGTCATTCAAAGTATGGTTGAGGGTATTAATTATGACCGTATGTCGATATTAATAATGATGTTCAATATAACTCCAGTCTTCCACCTAACTTCCTTTGTGCAATTAAGTCAAAATAATTAAATTGGATGTTACCTTTAAGGTAAATATGTATGTAGCAATTGATTGTGACTAAAATTCATAATAATTAATTCTGTTAACAGCAAGATTTATACATTTAAAATGGGTGAATTTTATAAGTAAAATATACCTCAGTTAAGTTACTAAGTAAAAAAATGTATGAATACTAGGTATGAAATATTTATGGTCATATCTGATAATATTTGGTGGGATTAATGTTTTCTGTTGATTATTAATCAAAAGAATAAAAGATGCTATAGAAATGGTTTATTTTCCCTTTTTAGTGAAAGAGAAAAATAATCATTTGTTTCCTTTTAGCTTTGGCTCCAACTTTTGAAATGAATCCTATGAAGAAAAAGATCTTAGCTGCTAAGGGAGGAAGGGTCATAATTGAATGCAAACCTAAAGCAGCACCCAAGCCAAAATTCTCATGGAGTAAAGGGACAGAGTGGCTCGTCAATAGCAGCAGGTCAGTTCGGAAACTGGAAATCCAATTGCAATGAACTATTTGGCCAAGTTCATTTAAAGAGGACTTTAAAGAAGACTTATGTAAATGTTGATTGTTCTAACTTTCCTCTGCAGAAGGCACTGTAATTCTAAGATAAACAAAAGTAAGAAATACTTACCCTTCACTGTTATTATCTGTGATAATCAAGGTTCAATTTTTAGGCTTCTGTAATTTATAAGAAATTTAGAAAATTGAGACTCAGGGACTTTTGGTAAATTGCCCAAGTCCTCAGGGGGGGGGGGGGGGGGGGGGGGGGGAAGAACAATGGGAAATAAAATAGGATCTCTGACTTACTTTTCCCCTAACAAGGACTTCTGTATCCATTTATATTTGGTTTAGTTTTATGAAGTTAGCCCATTAAATATTTTAGTAGAAAAAATATAAAGGTACATTTCAATAAATCACCCCTTCCCACCTTTTAAAATAAATTGGAATTTCTCACCTTCCTAACAAGTAAACGATTACCAATGTTTTGGTAGCTTTAGGATAAAATATAAAGCCTGTGACTTCATAATATTTATTTAAAAGCCACACTGAATGGTTTCTATAAATGTACTAGCAGAAGATAAGGTAATATTGAGTATGGAGAAAAGAAAGTCAGGATAGAAAATGGGATGTGAAAGTGGGGGAGAAAGAAATATTATAGGCAATGAAAGGAGTATGTACAAGGGCTCTGAGGCAGAGAGTATAGGATGGTGAAGAATTTAAGAATTCTTAGGTTTCTGAGGTTTTCCCTTAGGAGAAAGTGGAGAAGAGTTTTAAGAGATAAGATGTAGTAATCCTTACATGGATCCGTTACATGGGGGGCTTGGACCCCGTCTTTGAGTAACCAAATCTGTTAAAGACTTAAATAAAGGAGAAAAAAATGTACTTTTTGCATTCAAAAAGAATATTCTAGCAAAAGTGCATAAGACAGATCTTCTTCACAATAATAATTTAAAAAGTAGGTAAGATGGGTATTATTATCTCTATTTTGATGTATCTGAAGCCTGGAACGGTTAAAGTAAACTTTTGAAAGTATGTTGATAATCTCCAAACTGAAACTTCAACTTGGGTCATATTGACATGGAATGAACATATGCCAACACAGTTTTCTTATTAGGATGGCCACAAGTGTGGCTGTGTATGGGACAGAGATCGAGATGGGGGGTGGGGGATGGTAGGGAGTGCACAGGGTCAGTAGTTATTTCCACAAGCACGTTAACTTTTAAAATGAATAGATTTGACTAAGATTTATTAAGACCTTAGCAAAATGATGCTAGCAGAATCAGTGTTAAAGGAAGAATTAATTTGTTCAATTTTCTGCCAAAACATTAGTGATCAGACAGTGAGCAATGCAGAGACTGTGACCAAAGGGTAAGTCCCTTATCTAGGTACTTAGTTACCCCTGCAATAAACTTGTGGCACAGCATCCCCCTCAGCCTCCCCACCCCCGCCACTAACTTTCTCCCCTAAATGAAAAAAATCTTGCTCTGATTCTGATGAGGACCAATGTCATGAGCCTTTCTGACCAAGGATTTCTCAGAACCTGGTTTCACGGCCTTGTTTTTCCTAAATATCAACATGTGTTCAAAAAAGGAAAAGAAAAAGGATATTTTCCTAAATATCAACATGTGTTCTAGCTCCTAAAATCTTACCATTTTAATCTTGTCAGAATATTTTTAGTCTTTGAATCAAGTTGTATTACTTCTTGACAAAAGACTCTATAAATCCAATTTTTGCTCACTGCTTTAATCCATTAATTTTTCAGATTATAAGCACCATTTTATAATAGATACAGTATTTTACATAAAAATAAAGTTCAATGTGGTAAGATAGTATGCATTAAGAAAAATTCAACTAATAAATTGGTTTTAGAGAAATAAAACATTTCTGTTTAAAAATAATATTCAATGGGGCGCCTGGGTGGCGCAGTCGGTTAAGCGGCCGACTTCAGCCAGGTCACGATCTCGCGGTCCGTGAGTTCGAGCCCCGCGTCGGGCTCCGGGCTGATGGCTCGGAGCCTGGAGCCTGTTTCCGATTCTGTGTCTCCCTCTCTCTCTGCCCCTCCCCCGTTCATGCTCTGTCTCTCTCTGTCCCAAAAATAAATAAACGTTGAAAAAAAAAAAATTAAAAAAAAAATAATATTCAAGGAGCACCTGAATAACTGTCTTTCAACATAACTGTAATCTCATTCTGATTAATAAACCACAGAAAATGGTTCCACATTACAGTTAGCCACACTTGATTAGTAGCTTGTAAAATGGTTTATGTGATATTTCCTATCAGTAGAGAGGAAACATAAATCTTGATAAATTGTAATTAGGTTCTCAATTGTATGATTTTACTTGGAGCTAAATGATATACAGTTTACAACAGAATTTATTTGTAGTTGTTCATTTCATATTTAATGGACTGCTATCAGCTCTAAAGTGATCTTTATCTGAGCCATTTATGTGAGAGCAACTCCAAAATTCTTTTCTTCTCTAGAGTTAGTATTCTTTAGCAATTAACAAGTAAAATGAAGGTTATCCTGGGGTAATTTTGGCAAAAGTGAGTGACTAATTTATTAAAGACCAAGTAGTTCCTAGTTTATTGGACTGCTTATCCATATCAGATTATCTGAAAATAAGGATAAGATCACTAGAGTTTAATCTGCATTGATTTAAGAATGGGGACCATTAGGGGCTCCTGGGTGGCTCAGTCAGTTAAGGGTCCGACTCTTGGTTTCAACTCGGGTTTCATGAGTTTGAACCCTGCATCAGGCTCTGAGTTGGAAGTGCAGAGTTGCTTGGGATTCTCTCTCTCTCTCTCTCTCTCTCTCTCTCTCTCTCTCTCTCTCTCTCTCTCTCTGCTTCTCTCTCTCTCTCTCTCTCTCTCTCTCTCTCTCTCTCTCCCCTTCTGTCTCTGCCCCTCCCATACTCATGCTGTCTCTGTTAAAATAAATAAATAAACCAAAAAATGTATTAAAAAAATAGGGACCATTATTAGAGAAAAATCAAGTTAACTTACCATGGTAATCCTTACCAAAAATTAATTTTAGTGTCACGAAATAAGTGCCTGAAATAATAGGTGAAATGAGTGACATAAAGAAGAATATACTTTGGATATACTAAAGGTTCACTGAGAGCTAATGTGAGAAAACAGAATAATAGTGTGGATTCTAGAAAGAATGATTGCTGTTGTTCTTTCCATTGCATATTGGCTATAATTTTCATAGCTTCATTTGCAAAATAATTAAATGATAGTGCAGTGGAACATTGGCTAAGGGCTCACATTAGATTTTAGTGAAAAAAAAGTGTGGCACATTAATGTTGGTCCTTGTTAATATGAATCTGGAGAAGCAGGTGCCAATATAGGAGTAAGTATTCAGGAGATTTATTAATGGCAGTGCCTACATGGGAAAATAGAGAGGGCACTGGGTAGAGGTTTGGACAACCATCTGACCAAGATGCAGGACTGATTCCAGATGAAGGAGAAAGGGAGGGCAGGAAGGAAGGCCCAAGGAAACGACTCAGATTTCAGGGCAGATCTGAGTATGGTGAGGCCACTGGAGAGTCCTTCAGCTCAAACTGCCCCTAAGAATCTGATGTCTCCTAGAAACAGGTCTGCCTTTACATTCCTCTCAGGTTGTCATTGGCTGAGACCAGCCTTTGGAAAGTATAGCCTTGGCTCATACACAGTGATGGATTTCTGAGTGCAACAGCTGTGTGGATCCATTATACTTCTTACAGTGGAGAACTTAGAGGCACATGCCAAAGCTTCTGCAGTACCAAATAGTTACTTTTAAGTTTATATTATTTTGAAACTACAGTTTCTCTTCAAGGAAAAGAAAGTATTCTGAAATAAATTTAAGTTGGAACTGGATAAAGAGGCAAAAGGAAATCTTGGAATGTATTATTGGTGGAATTTTTTGGCATTTTCTTATGTGGAAATGCATTAAGAAAATTTGGCATTTTCTTAATAAGGTAGATATATGGTGTCTTTTCTTTATCAAGCTCCACCCTTAAGGTGGAATAGATGGATAATTGTTGGCATGTGCTCTACCAAGCTTCAGAGATAAATTAAGGTTTTTGGAATGGTACATTCAGGAAAGTGAAAATCTAGTGATAGGCAATTCGATATTGAATCAAAATGCAAAGTATTATATAGCACAGTAAAGTTTTTAAATAAATATACAAGTTAAATACAATAGAGTTATATATAATGAGTTTTTATAGTCTCTAGTCTCTGAGGAAGAGGCAGACAGAGGGAATAGGTTTAGGTTGTTAGTATGAAAGATTTAGGTTCCATTGAAAGAAGACTTTCCTAAATATTAATCTGTTACAGAAGCTGTTAATAAGGAAGGTTTTAGAATATCCTTCTTTAAACATTACTAAAAAATATTTTTGCATTCCTCTGTAGCTGTGGAAATGATAGTCTGTGCTAACTTTAAAGTCTGAGTTGAATAGGGGCACATGTTACCCCAATGTTTATAGCAGCACTTTCAACAATAGCCAAATTATGGAAAAAGCCTAAATGTTCATCAACTGACGAATGGATAAAGAAGATGTGGTTTACATATATGATGGAATACTACTTGGCAATGAGAAAAAAATGAAATCTGGCCATTTGCAGCAACATGGATGGAACTGGAGGGTATTATGCTAAGTGAAATAAGTCAGGCAGAGGAAGACAGATACCATATGTCTTCACTCATATGCGGATCCTGAGAAACTTAACAGAAAATGGGGGGGAGGGGAAGGCAGAAAAAAAGTTGCAGAGAGGGAGGCAGCCAAACCATAAGAGACTGTTAAGGACTGAGAACAACTGAGGGTTGATGGGGGTTGGGGAAGAGGGGAAAGTGGGTGATGGGCATGGAGGAGGACACTTAATGGGATGAGCACTGGGTGTTGTATGGAAACCAATTTGACAATAAATTATATATATTTTTTAAAAAGTCCAAATTGAAGTCCTGAGGTCACATTTCTGGAAGACCTGGACTCATTCATTTCAGGCCTATGACTGGTTTGACTGGTTTGAGGCTGTTCCACAGCAGTTTTTAAGTCATTTTATGGCAGTATATGAAAAACCATTTGCTTCAATTAAACTCCATGAAGTGCATTCATTCAAGAAAAGGTTGATTGACTTCCTAATCAGTAATTAGTGTCTTATTCTTCTAAATTCCTGGCACATAGATTTTCTTTTTCCAATGAATGAATGAATGAATGAATGGACAGATGTATTACCTGCTGGAGACAGGGCCACAAGCAAAGCAGATAAAAAATTCCTGACATGGGAATGTTACCAGCTATTGGAAGGATAGATTAATAAGTAACTGAAGTATGTGTGATGGCATGAATATTAGGAGAGACAATCTTAGAGGAGGGATGGGTTTGAGAGGGTACCTGGACAGCAGCATGCAATGCTAACTAGAATTATTAAGCAAAGCTTTGTTGAAGGTTCCAATGTGCAAAAGCTTTGAGATTGCCCAGGGACTAAAAGGGCAATCAAAGGACTGTGTCTCTTACTATGAGTGAGATGGAAAATCACTGGAGGGAGCTGAACTGCAGAGTGATCTCACTGAGCGGAAGAGTGACATGGTGTGACTTATGTCACTTATGTCTTCATGTCTGACTGACATGTGGAAAAGAGACTAGAGACAGGCAAGGATAGAAGCAGGAGGCCGGTTAGAGACTACTGCAATAGTCCAAGAAAAAGATGAAGATGGCTTTCTAAAGCAATTGGTCAATGCTGGAAAAAATAGTATAAACAAAGTCTAGAATGTTTCATCTTTAGAAAATGTTACTGTCGAGTAATTTGTATAAATTGTAATGATCAAAAGCTAGTGTTTGTAATCTAAGACAGAATAGTAAAATGTTTATTAAATTAGTTTTGTGAAGAATGTGTTTCTCTCATTTGAATAGAATACTCATTTGGGAAGACGGCAGCTTGGAAATAAATAACATTACAAGAAATGATGGAGGTATCTATACATGCTTTGCAGAAAATAATAGAGGGAGGGCTAATAACACTGGCACTCTTGTTATTACAGGTAAGAAACCATTTGATCAATATTAATTTTTTCTAGTTTCATAGTACTTAGTTTCTAATATAGTATAAGACATGATTCACAAAGACAGTCCATGTATTGATAAGTTTCCATTTCAAAAGCCTATTGGGCAAATCTCTTGCTTAATGAAATTGTTCCTAGAATTTGAATCTGAAAACATCTTTCTCCCTTTGTTCAGAGAAATAAAAATGTAGTACCTTTTATTCTTTGAAACTGCCAGATAATATGATATCTAATGTTTTCTTGAATTGTGCTTTATTCTTTTTTTTCCAATGTGTAGATCCCACGCGAATTATATTGGCCCCAATTAATGCTGATATTACTGTTGGAGAAAATGCTACCATGCAGTGTGCTGCGTCCTTTGATCCCGCCCTGGATCTCACATTTATTTGGTCCTTCAATGGCTATGTGATCGATTTTAACAAAGAGAACATTCATTACCAGCGGAATTTTATGGTATGTGTTTTAAGTTTCATCTTATTAACATTCCATTGACCCCTATGTGTCTGCACTGCAATTCCTTTTACTC